AATCTCAATTACAAGTTTTACTTGATCGTGCACCTAACCTTCGTTGTTTAGATATTCGTCAAGATGAATCATTATCTTTACAAATGTCATTATTCCAGTATAGAACCTCATCAGTTCGTCAACTCGATTTCCGAGATTATAATTATTATTTCAGTGAAGGAGAATGTATTAGACTATGTCATTCACCATTATGTATTCAATGTGAAGTTCTTTTTATCAGAATTAAGAGTCGTCATACTACAATTTATCTTGTCAAAAATATGTTAAATCTTTCATCATTACATGTTAAACGTGACGATGAAAAGTATCATAAACGATTAGCAACAGCAAAGAATAATAATGACAAATATCGTGATGGAAGCGTAGAAAATGAAGAGGAACTTATTGATTGATTAAAAGATCGTTTACCATCGACGTGTTTATTCTCAAAAAGTGCACATTTTCCTAGTGATATTGTAATATGGATTTGATGATAACAAAGAAAAGTGAACTTATCATTTAATCCGGAACATACATTATCCTTTAATGATACTATTCAAGAATAACCATTTTGTGGAACTCACATATATTTTCGAAGAAAATAGTGAGTGTAAGTTTTAAGTTCAAGTTTTCGCGGTTTTCCCCATTCCCTCTCCATTACAGACATCTCCCTCCCCCTTTATAGACCTTAGCAATTAAGAATAACAGGTGTCAGACTTTCTAGCTTTTTTCAAAAAATTGATCAAATTATGATTTTGAAAGATAATCAACATCATTGTTTGTGAGCTGATTAGCATATACAATAGTGCATAAGATCTTCTGTAGATATCATGAATATATAAAACAGATTTATTCGCCAATTAATTTAATGATTATTATAATAAGAATGTTGAGTTACGAAAAACGATTTAAAATAAAAAAAAATGAAAGATAATGAGCGAATAGCAACAATGCAAAATAAAAATAGGGCGCTTTCAAACAAAAAAAATTTTCTGTTTTAAATGTAGACATAAATAACAAAGTCTCGCTCATAAAA